TGGGCCGTAGAAAAACCAAGCCCCATCCTTGTTTACAGCAAGCATAAAACCAGATTTCTAATCCTGGGAGCCACAATCACCTATTGATTGCCGCGACATCTGTGCCCTTGTGTTTGGAAGCAGGGTTTTCTGCTCAGGCGGGGCTGAAAAATCCTACCATTTTGGCCCCCCTGTCGCCTAAACAGCTGACAGCACTCTCAGGACGGAGTCTCATGGCCCACACCTTGGCTTACTCCTTTCTCACCTATGGATGGACCCAATTACAAGTCCCCCCTTTCGCTTTCCGAAGTTCCCAAAAATGCAATCTACGAAGAAGAAGCAGCGTCTGTAGAACTGATGCGGCACCCTCCAGCAGACAAAGGGGGAAATGCTTTGTGCGCCACCAAATGCAACCTCCTCCGCCCCAGGCCAGCCCGGAGTGAGTCAAAGCGCCGGCCGGGACTCAGTTCCACTGTGGAGCCGGACCATGACCTCAAAGATCAGAGCTGCTTAACTTAACCCCTTTCTTACCCCAGAGCGTTCCTCAGGATCACGTCTCTTAAATATCCTAGACTTGGAGGTGGCGGGGTGGAGGTGGGGGGTGGTGTTGCTGAGTTGGTCCGGAGGGCAGGCGACCGCTCAATCCAGGACCAAGTTTGCGACTCCCTGCCTGACTCGGAACAGTCGCCAACTGCAAGCCGTGGCGCCCAGGCCGAGGCTCTGACTGGGGATGGGGACGCCCCGGGGATGGGGAGCGTGTGTGTGCGCGCGCGTGTGTGGTGTTGAGTATTGGGGAAATGGAGTGGGCACACTGTAAAGCTGACCTCAAAACCGCCCTTCTCCCCGCAGTACAGGCTGCTTAGCAGCCCAGGCACAAGAGAAAGCTGACTCGTTTCCGCTCTCACTTCTCAAGTTCACACTCAAGTTCAACCCCTGATTCCCACCAGACGTCTGAGTAGTCTGGCCCTTTTCTCAACCCATCCTTAAAGAACAACCCCCGATGTCGCAGGAGGGCAAAGTCCGCAGGAAATACACAGCGAAGGCAGAGGAGAGACGGTGAGGGGGTCAAGGAAGGAGAGACCAGGAGGGCGAGAGAAAGACCCCGCCACCTTTTAAGCTTGTTTCTATCTCCAGCGCTTGCCACCAAGCCGCCTGAAGTTAGAACTTGAAAGCGCTCCTGGGCACCTGGCAAGCGTGGCGCCCTCTAGAACGCAGGTGAGGGCTCAGACTGGTTCCTCCTGGTGAGCAGAGGCTAGCGCCTCGCTTTCAACCCTTCAGGCTGCTTGGTCCCCAAAGTGAAGCCGTGTGGGACCCACATCCTCGCTGGCCAAGTGCTCCTTCAGGAGCAGCGCGGTCCAGCTACATCCACTCAAGCCGGGCACTCCTGTCTTCTGCAATTTAAGGGGAGAGTGAGCGGCTTGTATGCCCCAGGTCCTAGGGCCCAGTCGGAGCTGAGGTGGCGCGTGGTTTTGGACCTTCCTTCGGAACATAAGAACGCAGCCACGGGAGGAGTGTTGGAAGGGGAGGAGTAACGAAGGGGCGAACTAGCAAACTAAAGGATGGTGATGAGATGGGACAGAAAAAGAAAAAAAAAGACTCGTTTTCTGAAAGAATTTGGACAGTGGAACATGTGTCCACGCCCCCAACTGGGGCACTAAACTGGAACCAGCTCGCACTCATGGGCCCCCACTCCCAGTGCGGGAATCAGTCAAGGCCATCCCACTAGGACATCCCTGTTTCTTATCTTCACCTCCCTCCCTCCCACTCACCTCCTTATACAACCTCTCCGTTCCTCCTCCTCTTTTCCTGGCTTGCCACAGCGGGCTAGCCCACTCTCTGCCCTAAGCGTCCAGGCCTGGGCTCACCTCATGCGGGGTGGGGGTGGGGGTGGGGGGAGCGTGCACACAGCCCCTCAGTGCGCTTCTAGAGAGGTGTTGGGGGAATGGGTGGCAGGCGAACACAGTCGAGTGGGAAGCGATGAGTGTTTACAGACTAACTCTCCCAAGATCGTCCTGCCTAACCCACCTGCCGCGGGGTCAGGGAAGTCGGAAGGTCCAGAGTTGGTCGTTTCCAACTTTCTGTGGCCACGACCAGGAGGGACGTGTGCAGGGGCGAAGAGGTTACTGCTCTCCTTTCCAAAGAACCAAAGAGTGGCCAGAAAGATTAAATGGGGGGTTGGGGCGTGTATGCCCCCGGTCCCAGGGCCCAGTCGGAGCCTCACAGATCCCCGTGGCACGAGGGCACCCGTCCTGCTCGCCAAGAAAAGAGTGAAGCTGTGGCCAAGTGGAAAGTGGAAGAGAGTGGGTCCGGCCACACCGCGCAGAAAACCTGAAGGTCCGTCACCGCGCGGGAGGAGAGGAACACAGTGGCTCCCGAAAGCCGGCCAGGCGAGCCGCCGGAGCAGCCCCAAGTGCAGCAGGAGCGGGTGTCTGGTCTCTGTTCCCAGCGCGCCGCCTGCTCGCCCAGGGGTCCTG